AACAAAGCTCCTTTGGACTAATAATATAATTCCAGCTCGGATAAATATTGTTGCGTTTTTTTTTTCTTTTCTGCACTTTCGTACGGAGTTCGTGTGGATTTGGAGTGAATAACGACGACACTTGATGAAGTATCGAAACACACTTTATTGGCAGTATTAATGAGGACAATTCCAAAATCTCGTTCACAGTCGTCGAACTGTTATAAACACGCTGACACAACAGCGACACAGCTATCAGGTTATCAAGCTATCACGTTGGAGACAGCTTTACTGCAATGCACCAGAGTACAGCTCCCGACTCTGCTTGGTCGTTCTCGGAACTCCACGTACTCTCGAGACTCTCCACGCTACAAATCGCGATGCACTCGACAGCACGCAGAGCACAGTTCCTGACTCAGTCGTTCCCGGAGCTTAACACACTCTCTCGACGATTCACTAACCGCGATACACTAAGAGACTCTTCGATACACTCGACTACCAACTCGGCGCTAGACTTCGAAACACTCGCTCAATGACTGACTATCAGCTCGCTAGACGAGGCACATACTAACTGACTGCGAGCCAGCAGGCTTTATATAGCTTTTGGCCTGTGTTCGAGAACATTCTGGGCTAAACCGGTAAGAATTCGTTTCAGAAGGTTCTCCAACCGTCCATGGTATATCGCCAAATTTGTCGCCAAATGTAGCCAAATGAGCGATTTCTCGCCGAATGTGGCAACACTGCCTTTCCTTGCTATTTTATGGCAACCCTAAACCTGCTTTGCGGGAAAGCTATCCCACCCCTCATGTACATTATGTAACAATATATTCCTATTTCGATATACACTGGTGTGCAAAAATTAAGGACGAAGTCGAAAAATTAGCATATCAGCTGAACGAAGAGGCAGAGCGGACAGAAAGACCAATCAGGAGATTAAGTAAGGTGATGTCCCGCAAAGCAGGTTTAGGGTTGCCATAAAATAGCAAGGAAAGGCAGTGTTGCCACACTCGGCGAGAAATCGCTCATTTGGCTACATTTGGCGACAAATTTGGCGATATACCATGGACGGTTGGAGAACCTTCTGAAACGAATTCTTACCGGTAGCCCAGAATGTTCTCGAACACAGGCCAAAAGCTATATAAACCTGCTGGCTCGCAGTCAGTTAGTATGTGCTCGTTAGCGAGCTGATAGTCAGTCATTGAGCGAGTGTTTCGAAGTCTAGCGCCGAGTTGTAGTCGAGTGTATCGAGAGTTATTAGTGTATCGCGGTAGTGAATCGTCGAGAGAGGTGTTAAGCTCGGGAACACTGAGTCATAACGTGCTCTGCGTGCTGTCGAGTGCATCGCGATTGTAGGTGAGAGTCTCGAGAGTACGTGGAGTTCCGAGAACGACCAGCAGAGTCGGGAGGCTACTCTGGTGCATGCAGCAAAGCTGTCTCCAACGTGATAGTTGATAACATGATAGCTGTGTCGCTGATTGTGTCAGCGGTTTATAACAGTTCGACGACTGTGAACGAGATTTTGGAATTTGTCCTCATGTACGTGAACATGCGCAGAGTGCAGGTGACGTAATGGGGAGTGTCTGAGTAGTATAAAGCATGTGTCGGTGTAATCAGTATTTCTGGCAAAGAGATAGCACGCCTTTATAGCTTAAAATCACACCGAGTTGCTGCCCAGCGAGAAAGGGCGATAATCAATGTTAGACGACATCTTGATGCTTTTACCGAGGTTCGAATCTTGGGAAGTGAGGAAGGCCGCAGTCTGACCAAGTGGTGGCTGTAGAGTTCGGAATTGCTAAGCATCTTTGACGATTTGGAGACAATTGAAACTACGGAACAGCTTCCGGGGGTTTAGTAGGTGTCTCGTCCCGAGGGAACCCCACCCGCAGATGACCGTATATTTCCTTACAGGCCAAGAAGAAACAGGCGGCAGACAGGGAGAAATCGCTAGACACACGACAACGATGGACGACCGATATCGCGTTTTCCCGTGGCCAGGAGACGCACGGTGGTCTGTTTGCACGACGCCCTGTACGGTGTGACTTCTAACGCCATCGGAGAAGGCGTTCCTGTGGTGCCGGAACACCGGAATTGGTAGATAATGAATGGGACGAATACTCTTTACAGAGAGAGCAGATTCAGTCTGAGTAGCGATTCTCATCGCAACCATCTGGAGAGAGCGGGAAGCGCAATCACCCTCGAACTCATTGCTAGGGCAGGTATGGAGGTGGCGGTGTTCTCGTTTGGGGAGGCATCAGCTGGTAGTTCGTAACAGACCTTCACATCTCGACGCAGGTTCAGGTCCAACGGACCCGTTATTGTAACGAAATTCTTCTCCATATGTGCATCTTTTTAGAGGCGCTATGGGTCCGCAGTTCGTTTTCATGGATGACAATGCACCATGTCTCGCACATAGCTGCCGAACAGCTTTAGAGAGTGAGGATATTGACGTATGATGGCCGGCACGATCTCCGGATCTCAATCCCATCGAGCATGTATGGGATTTCTAGGCAGACGCTTGGCAGCTCGTACCTTACCACCAGTAACGTTCCTGACCTTCGATTGGGCTAGAAGACGAATGGGCAGCAATGCCCTCACCAACTCATTGACACCTCATTCTCAGCAGGGCAGACGCTGTGAAACCGCCTAGCAGTCAGGGGAGATATATCCCCTATTAAGACGGTGTTTCTTGCTGGACACCCATCACAGGGATGTTTCGGCCTTCAGTCGCATTGCGCTCCATGCTACGTTTTCATAAAGCTTCTTTTATCCCTGATTTCTCCTTTAGTAGTGTTGCTTACATTACTCATGTCCTTACGCATTGGGAATTTTTACGGTATAAATGTGTTAATTGGAAAGCTTTTGTACAAAGTTATGTTGGAAAAACCGTCTCGTCCTTAATTTTTGCACACCAGTGTATATTGAGATTGAAATGGAAACATCATATATCTTCTGTGTATTTAAAAGTGAAAACGTATTTAGTGTAATTCTATAGAAATATTTAATGATCTTAATCAAATATATCACGAATTAAATGCATTGTTATTTAAATCAGTCGGATTAAAAAAATAATAATAATAGTTTTTAAGAACTGCATCTCTTGCTTTTAAAATGTTAACTAATAACAGGCAGATTAAATATAAAAGAATAACGCCTTATTTTTTTTCAAAGGAAAAGGGAAACTTTAAAACAATGGTAATTCTTTGTTCCACATAAACCTTTGGCGATATCTGATCTTTGCTTGTTGCAGATAAAGAGATTTAGTTTGCCAGTTTTGGCGACTAAGCGTGGTGACCGCTTTAACAAGGAAGTATCCAGAATTATTTTTAATAACGTATAAGTTTTATTATGAAAGCTTTTTGCATCGCTTCATCCTTAAGGCTTCTTTTAAGTACATTTATTTATCTTGTCATGGTATGGTTTTCAGAACAACTTCTAATTTTCAGATGACCTTATTGCTTATTGCTTGAATAAAAAATATCGAGGGCTACAATCCTGGAATACAAAATATTGAGATGACAAACAGATCTTATAAATGTTGATATTATGAAAATCAAGTGGAAAAAATCGTAGAATAAAAGGCTTCAAATTCGTTAAAAGTATAGATATCCCTTGAATAATCGCCTGAATTCGTTATTGGCGTAAATATCGCCTGAATAAAAAATATCGAGTGCTGTAATCCTTGAATAAAAAATATCGAGTGCTGTAATCCTTGAATAAAAAATATCAAGATGACAAATACATCTTCAAAAAGCTGATGTTATAAAAATCAAGGCGGAAGAAACCATCTGGAAAACAAATCTTCAAATTTGTTAATGGAGTAGATAAATGTAGACACCTTCATTCTTTTGTAGTATTATTATTTGCATTGTACAATTCTGTAAATTAAGCAGCAAAACGAACGACATTCTACAATTTTTAAACTTTTATTAATTAATGAAAATGTCGCTATGACAATGCACTATAAATGCTGTAACATTCACATCTGAATTCGTTCATTTTAGTATGCTGGGATTATTTGCTAATGATAGAAAGTATTTCGCAGTTAAATAATTAGTCACATTAACTGTAACATTATCTTTTAACTTTCACTTTGAAATCCTAGAGGTCAATCTCGTGTGACTTCCCAAGGCTATAGTGAAATATGAACTCTCATCTTTGCACTGAGTCATATCTATTTTCTGAGAACTTTAGAGAATCAGAACTTCGTTTTGCGTTCTGAAAATTTTGCCAAGGTTGAATTCTGCATAGTGATAATGTACACTGAAGTTTGTTTTATAAAATTAGCAAGTATCAATACTAGCTTTGTAGTTTAAAACAGCGGTAGTCTGTTGGTAGACCTCAGGCTGCATACGACCTACAGTAAGATTAACCACTTTTATTTTAATTGTAATTTTAAACTACTCAGTTTTTTTATTCGTAAAAGTCTGATTGAATTTGAAAGATCTTGTAATTTTCTAAATGCCAAATCCTTGAATCGGCTCTGTGTGAAAGCGGGTGAAAGATAAAATAAAAGTCTTACGTTTCGCACCATGGCAACACTTGTCAAAGCTTGCTTCTAGGTTCTTGCTGTTCAACTTGCACATCAAATTTCAAGGCATTATCGTGTCTATGGATTTTATTTTGCTAGAACAAGTCTTTTAGATCATAAATATAAATGAAAACAATACACCTCGCTCGAGGTGCGGTTTTAAATTTTTATGCATAGAAAAAATAAAATAAAGACATTTTATGTGCAAATTTTTTTAGGGCAAGATCTTTATATCCAAACAGTAGCTTTATATCTAATTATTTTCATGTACTTTTGCTAAAGAAAATAAAAAATCTAAACTTGAAAGGTTATTCCTCACATTTTACGTTTAGAGTTTTATAAAATATAATTAGAAGACATAATATTAATAAAAATTTACTTTTATTCCACTCAGTTTTGTTCAAAAATATTTTATGGAATGTCTAATTTGAAACACTTTTGAATTATTAAAAATTATGTAAAAGTAATTTTATTTTTTTATTGTTTATTTCAGAACCTACATGGCAGAGTTTAAGAGGTAAGAGCATTTCTTTCTTTCACAATCACCCTCGTAATTTCATAATAATTATGCGCTAAATAGTATTATGAACAATCGTATTGTAAAATTATATTGAATATATTAATATGTCATATTAAATGTAATGATAATTCTATAAAGAGGTATTGATTTATTTAATGTCTTGCTTAATTATCTGGCACAGTTTATAAACCACATCTTAAAAATCACAATTTTTATAAAAAAAAAATCGTAAATTTGTGAAATAGGATGGAGTTCTAACAGAAGAGAGTTATTAGTACTTACTCGTGTTTTAAATTTAAAGATATTGGGTTGTTGCAAATGAATGGATACTAGAATGACGACAGATTTCTATTTGTTGCAGAAGGAAGAAAGCGCTGAGGCTTATGCAAATGTTTTAGGTCTCGTGACAACATCGTCCAACGAGCATTCAAGATTCACCGTTTAGGTATTTCACACACTTGTACCTGACTTCGGCATTCAACATTGGATGCTATCGTCATTAACTCAATCATCGAGCCCAGTCAATTAAAATTACTTTACGAGCTTAAAATGGATTATTCTGATGCTGTTGCAGTAAAAATCATCAATGGCGGAACAACTTATAAGACATCTACTCGCTGTTAGTTTGCAAAATTTCGCTTTAAGATTTAAGGCTATAAAGCAAACCTCGTGGCCGTTGTCATTCATTCATTTTAATCGAATCATAGCCATGATAAACCGTACAAGAGACTGCTAGTGTACTTTTTTAACACGTTCGCTGGCGAGCGACCTACGAGATAACTCGTGGTTGGCAGAGAACGTCTTAACTGTTTCACTACATTTGAAAGTCTCACAAATTTATTGTGAAAGCAAAGCTGGGTGTTTCGAAGTGTGCTCTCGCTTTCAAAAAGTAAAGAAGAAAGTTTCTTGCTATGAATTGAGACTGTGGATGAGAAATGGATATTCTACGTTAATTGTGCACGTTCGTTGCAGTGGTTGGGAGTGAAAGATGCTCCATGAAAAGCTCCAAAGGCACCTGTAGCCAAAGATATTGCTTACTGTATGGTAATTTTCTGCTGGTGTTATTCATTACTCATTCCTTAAGCGAAGAGAAACGATATAACTACAATTCGATATTATATCGATATACGACAAATGCGTGACAAAATGTGCTTTAAGCAATTTCTGCTTTCAACTGTTTATCATACACCATGAATTATTTTATATAGCCAAAGCTCTCTGAGGGGAGAAAAGATTTTCTCCCTGATGTCATTAAATATCTCCGAGGTATTAAAATATTTAGGACCATGTAAGCATATTTCTAAAGACTATGTAATCAGTACTTATCTACTGGTTACATAGTCTGTTTAAGGATAGTACCCAACCACACGCGCAGGCTCACCGATGTAACGAATCAACGATTTGGAATATGAAATTTTGCTTCATCTTCCTTATCTTCTGACATTTATTTAGCCTCTTGATCTGGCACTTTAGACATTTTTTAGCCAAGAAATGCTTTGTCAACTATTGGTTGCTAATTTATTAGCTAAAACTATATTGCCACAAAATCGTCCATTTCATTTGACACATCTCAATATAAAACTATAAAAGAGCTACAATTTTATTTATACCGATAAAAGGAGAAAAAAACATTATACAGAAATCTGAGGAAATGCTTTGTGTTTAAGAATACTTGTTTTCTTTTCTTAATGTTTATTATTAAAATATTAAGAACTCTTATAATTGAAAGCATTTTATGTTGTTTCTTTAATAATATTTCCTTTTTTCTTTTGATAGTCACATGGGGACTCAATCTGTTGAGTTCAAGAGTATTTGCGAAACTTCCTATGACAGAAAGCAAAGCCCGAAGTGAAGGATTTGTACGACTAGCTGGAGATTGTGCTGGTCAGTATTTTTAAAGAGTAATTCTTGTTCAAACTATTGATGTAAGTTCTTCTTGATTGGAGCATATCGAAATGTATAGCATAATAAATTAAGCGACTCGCCAAGTTAGCCAGAGCTTGAAATTCTAAAATTGAAATAAATAAATAAATAAATAATAAATAAAAATAAAAATAAATAAAATTAAATTAAAAAATAAAAATAATATCTTTAAAAAGGCTTAAAATTATTTATTTTAATGAATTATATAGCACAAAAAAGATAAGCTCGTATTTATTGATAAGAAACAAGTTTCATGTTTAAATGTTCCACTTTCCTTTCTCTGGAGCATCAATATACGTTATAATCTTTTAAAGCATACGATTGCAGTCCATAAAAATGTGTTATCCAGTCTTTTCGCCCTTTTAAAATTAAGAATGCTACTAGTCAGTCCAGGTTTCAAAATAATTGTGTGAGATAGCTATTCTCAGAGTACCCTCAATGAAGGCTTTCCTTCCCTTAGATGGATAGTTCTTGAGCGCGAAAAACATATTTCAAAATAAGTGCCGCAAAGAATTATTGCTATTAATACATCGGTCTCCATATGACGACCATTGGTGTCTGTACACAGTTCAAACCAATAAATTTTCCCGAAGACAGTCAGATGTTAATTTCCGAATAACATTGCTACAATGGTTTCGAAGTCGAGCTATATCTAATGCTCATGTAAATTTTAGATGTAATAAAACTCAGGAGGGTGAGAGAAAAACGAAAACCTGTAGGGATGAAACAGAGTAAAAGTACTGCACGTGCTCGTATTGGCACACTCTGTCTGTCCAATACAGTAAATGTACGTACAGAACATGTACGTACACGTTCTTTTCTTTGGCCGTCACTAATGCGCTGGACAAGGTAACGCTTTGTAGCAAAGAGAGGATTTGTGACGTAAATGTTATTATAAGGTATTTCTTCCTCCTTTCTACATGCCTTCATGCTGTAACGGTTAGCACACTTGGCGCGTATTCGAGGTTCGAATCCCGGCGAGGGCATTGCTCTTTTTTCACGTCTCTTGCATCAAAAATCCTAAAGTCTCTATATTATTTATGCTCCTTTTAACATATAAAATTATTATTACTTCGTTTAAATGTTCCGTTTATAAAATAATTTCTCTATAATGAGCTATTATGCATTTGTAGAACTTTTAATCGTATTTCTTCGTGATTATTTTTAAAGTAGGTCAACTGCTTCTCAACGGCTATTACATAAGGGTATGATGTTTCATTTTGTGGAAAAACTACTGTATCGAGAATGCAGTAGAAAGCATTCGAAGAAAGTATATAAGAAATTCGAGCAATTTTTCGACATAAACATACATATAATTCCTCTGATCGTAGCCTCCAAGTAAAGAATGAAATCTTAACTGAGAGACAGCTAGCCAAACATTCGCTTTCGACGTGTAGTTAATACCATTCAAACACCATCATTTTCAAAGTCTTATCTGACTAAACCATAATCAGAGCTATTAGAAATTGTTGAGTTATTTATTGTTGGTGACATGAATTTTTCAAGCCTCCATGATCTGTTCACACATCTTGCTCAAAATAAGCTGATAGTTATGTACAACATAAATACGAGCCCATTTCCCTTAAAGTGTCATCCACGAAGTCATCCCTTTCCTTAGACAAACAACTTTCGTATGCATTACCATATTTAAGCCAACGCACAATATCAAACTCAGCTATCGTGTTTATTAGTTGTGGATGCTTTCAAAGTTGATGCTCTACACTGAAGTGACAAAAGTCATGGGATACCTCCTAATATTTTGTCGGTCCTCCTTTTGCCCGGCGAAGTGCAGCAACTCGACGTGGCATGGACTCAACAAGTCTTTGGAAGTCCCCTGCAGGAATATTGAGCCATGCCGCCTCTATAGACGTCCATAATTGTGAAAGTGTTGACGGTGCAGGGTTTTGGGCACGAACTGACCTCTCGATGATGTCCCATAAATGTTCGATGGGATTCATGTCGGGCGATCTAGGTGGCCAGATCATTCGCTGGAATTGTCCAGAATGTTCTTCTAACCAATCGCGAACAATTGTGGCCCGGTGACATGGCGCATTGTCATCCATAAAAATCCCATCGTTGTTTGAGTACGTGAAGTCCATGAATGGCTGTAAGTGATCTCCAAGTAGCTGAAGGTATCCATTTCCAGTCAATGATCGGTTCAGTTGCACCAGAGGACCGAGTCCATGCCGTGTAAAAACAGCCCAGACCATTATGGAACCACCACCAGCTTGAACAGTGCCTTGTTGACAACTTGGGTTCATGGCTTCGTGGGGTCTGCGCCACACTCGAACCCTACCATCAGCTCTTACCAACTGAAATCGTGGCTTATGTGACCAAGCCACGGTTTTCCATTCGTTTAGGGACCAACCGATATGCTCACAAGCCCACGAGAGTCGCTGCAGGCGATGTCGTGCTGTCACTAAAGGCACTCGAGTCGGTCTTCTGTTGGCATAGCCCAAGGAAGACAAATTTCGCCGCACTGTCCTATCGGACACGTCCCTCGTACGTCAAACATTGATTTCTGCGGTTATTTGACGCAGTGTTGCTTGTCTGTGACATTGACAACTCTACGCAGACGTCGCTGGTCTCGGTCGTTAAGTGCAGGTGGTCGGCCACTGCGCTGTCCATGGTGGGATGTTATGCCTCAAATTAGATACTCTCGGCACACTCTTGACACTGTGGATCTCGGAATGTTAAATTTCCCAACGATATCCGAAATGGAATGACCCATGCGTCTAGCTCCAATTACCATTCCGCGTTCAAAGTCTGTTAATTCTCGTCGTGTGGCCAATAATCACGTCAAAGCCAAAAAAAAAAAAAAAAAAAAAAAAAAAAAATAGCAAATCTTCGTTCGGTCATTCGTTTTCGATTCGTTTGAATTTTGGTTTCAAAAATATTTTTTTCAATCTGTTGTATGAAAATTAATTTTTGAAGTGTTTTTAAAATTTAAAAAGGAAAATTTGAAATGGGAAAATTAAAAAAAAATTATATTTAGCTTTATTTGTGTGTTCTATAATGCTCGTTTAATTAATAATACTAGAAAACCACACACGTCAAGAATATAGTTTCATAAATGATAAACTGGAAATTTTGCTAGACACTGAATTTTGATTTCTAAATATGTTAATTTATTATAATTTCGCTCACATTGAGCACAGTATTTATCATTTCTTGTGAATTCTTTCAGTATCTTTAAATTTAATCTAAAAATAAAATACTTGATGTGTGTCGATATGTATTAACAATTTAACCTTTCATTCAGGCGGAAAATTCCTTGGAAATCGGTACATGAAAGGTCTCGATACCGCTGCAGTACTTATATATGATGCCAATGGATATATTGCTGGCATTCAAAATGGGGTACGGTAAATAGAATATTAAAATCTGTGTTTTTGTTTGTTGCTGTTTTTACTACTCATGATATCATGTACTCATGATCATATCATTTACTACTCATGATATCATACTCATGATCATATCATTTACTACTCATGATATCATGTACTCATGATCATATCATTTACTACTCATGATTTACTACTCATGATTATGTAATAAGCAGGAAGAGAGAATCGTAGGAATGAATGTTTGAAGTCACTATAGAAATTCATGTAACACTCAGAGCTATTCATATAAATTCATAGTTAATAATGAGATAATCTTATTGATTACCTTATCTGTGTAACAACCATTTTTTGATTGTTACATGAATAGCGTAATAGTTGACATTAATATATAACAATCCACAGTTCATTATATCAATTATTATATGAATAATAATTGAGCTTCGAAGTTATTTATATTGAGATTTTTATCTTGAATTACCACGCCAAATATATATATATATATATATATACTGTTGCGTGCGTACTGGTTCGTAATAGATTGAATGCAAAAGTCTGATAAAATATTAATAAAATTTATTCTTATCAAAAGAAATATAACAGAACACTGGAATTTTCCTCAGTACAAGTGTTCTTGTACTGAGGAAAATTCCTCAAAGAAATTCGTACAAGTGTTCACAATATCACGCAGTAATAATCAGTAGTTACACTTAAAATTACTAAAAACGTTAAATAGAACGCAATACACAGCGCATTTAAAGAGAAAGCAAATTCGATCTCATCGTGAATTCGCAGCAATAACAACAGAAGCTAACTAAACAAATAAGCTGAGACGTTCTTTCTCTGACCTTTTATAACTTTCAATCAGTCGCGGCAGATCTTTCTAGTAAATTCTGATTTTCAAGATTTCTGGAAAGCAAAAAGAGTGGAATTATTGGTTACATCTAACATAGTGTTCAATTACATTTATTAAATTTAAATACAAATTACCGAGATATCAATTTATTCAATGTTGTAGTTTTTTATTTCCGGCATATTCTCTTTAAATTCTTCTGGCACTACTTTGCTCGGGGAAATAAAATAATTTTAATTATAATTCTACCAAAATTAGCTATCTAAAAACAAAATTCGTAACAACAATATATACTTGAAAGAATAGTCATAATTGTAGCAATAACTTAAATAAAAATGTTAAGAGACGTATCTGCGCTGAAGCTGCAAGATCAAAATAAATCCAAAGTGAAGTAAAGTAAAAGATCGGAACATAAATTAAACACATATTTAGCTCCAAAAAATATAAAAACTAATCTATTTTTACCTCTGGGAAATGGTTACAAAAACCGAGTTAAATGTAAATGAAGGTTACAAAATAAAACACGGAACTTCCGGAATGCATTCTTGCGGCATCTTTCATTTGACAGAGATCACATTTAACTACTCACAGGTTTGTTCTTATTTAAAAGAAAAGTATACATGTGTGTATATGAAGAAGGAAAAATACACTTGTTTATTCTTGCAATTAAATTGAAAGTCATTATTTCATTTAAAATTAAATTCGCAAAAGGATTTGGCTGAAAAATCCATTTAATTTTTTTTTAACATTGTTTCCCAGTTTTCTGTTAAATTAATCACGCATCTAAATATTTTCTTTCCTCCAATGGCAGGCCTTCAGTCGACTTTGGCTTAGCTACTAAAAAGGCCAAAATTGGTGGTCACTTTATTATGGGGGCATTTACTATGTGGGCCACCTTTGCCTCCTATGAAGGGACCACCGGACAGTTAAAACCATGTCTTCTAGGCCCTTTGGCATCTCAGTCGGCTCCCCTAACCACTATACCGTCTGGGCGGCACGCATCTAAAAGTACTTTTCTGTAGTTTTCTTCACGATACATGCTCTTTTTTTAATTATTATGTTTAATTCTGGAAAAAATTAAACTGGAATTATATATATTTTTTCTTTTTTTTTTTTTTCATATACATCGAATATGCATTTCATATGCATTGAAAATGAAGGAATAAAAATTAATTATTGAAATTATACTAATATTTTATCACACGACAAAAGAACACGCAAAAATTGCACAAACTTTCATAATTATTAAATTTCCTCGTTTGCAAATTGAAATAATGCTTAAATATTGCTGCCAGTGCTAAAATATGCATAGTATTTAAAAACTCCATCCTGTCGGTTCCATCCATTCCTCCATAAAGCTCCATCCTGTCTGTACCCGAAGATATAATTATTCAATAGAAATGTGATCGTCTGTAGCGCATAAGCGCACTTCATAAAGTTTTTCTACTATTTTTAAAGTGTCAAGTGTCTGTTGGGATAGAACATCATTTTTCTGACTCCGAGGAGGATTTGTTACGCAACAGTTTCACATACCTAAGATATCTCTAATGTACTTAATAAGACTGAGAACAAACGAATGTGATGGTTAGTTCATTCAAACATCATCAATTTGAAGATATTCAGCTACCATAAGCAGATCGATGGAGTCGAACATTTTCATCCATGAACAAAAGGCATGAGCTGCATTGGGGAAGGAAAAGCTCATCTATCTCATGAAGAATTACGGAACCTCTGTGTGGCTGTTTCGCATGATTCCTTTCCAAGCAAGTAAACTGCTACTATAGGAAAACAGTCATCATCTTTCAGGGTGCATGCGTTGAAAAGTTGCGTGTTTCAGACTCTCTCCAACTGAATGTTTGCCTAGAATCACTCTGTCTATAGACTGCATTTAGACTTACCCGACAGTAGTACTTGCACCCAGTCAATTTCGACAACATTGACGATGAAGACGACACCATTTTAAACCCTTTTCTGAGCATGAAGTGTGAAACAGCACAGTCGCCCTCCCACATAATGGTCATATTCGAGAATCTTTTAGTAAGATTCAGTATGCTTATTCAAATACCAATGATTCTTGAGATTCTCTTAACTAATGTTCTAGTGTTTGTGCAAAGGTTTCTTCGTGCCATCAATGAAAAATAACTGTGTTCATAAGCTATCTTCAGACTATTTTGATCAGTAAGATGACTGATTACTCCCTTGCTTAAAAAAAGATTTCAGACCCTTTATAGCATGCTGTAGGAAAGGGGTTCTCAACTAAGGGAGGAATTCCCGTCGCCTCTAGGGGTAAAATCATAGTTTCAAGGAAGAATGCGGTCAGCCTTTTAGTTCGCTGCTAAATGTTTAGTTTAAGTTTATAAATATAAAAACTACTTTTATTGAAGTTACCAATATTTTCTATACTTTTTGTTGTTTAATTTATAAAACACATTATCTATATTATATATTTATAAAACACATTATCTTTATTTAGATTTAGATTATTATTAAAATAATCTAAATCTAAATAAATGTATATATGTATTTTTCAAGTTTTGGAAAGGAAGGGGAAATGATTTTCTAGCAATAGTGAAAGGGGTGCGTAGGGCAAAAAAGTTGAGAACCACTGCTTTTGGAACCCTTCTGCTCTCTGGTTAAGTGCAACTGTTTTGAACCACTTCAAATCTACTGACAGTTTGAACTTCTAGCCTTCTTCTAAATGATGTCTTTCAGATATTATTAAGATACCTCAAATTTCAACTTGGTCGAAGATCCAGTCACCAAGTGTGATATCAGTGACGGTATGAAAGTCTGGTGAGCAGGCTGCCTTTAATCCAGATATTCCTGCTCTAAGTTTGCCCTTTGAATAGGAATGTAATTCCTTTAGGCTGATCCAAAGCCAAAAGTTCTATGGAAAAGTTTTGTTACTGATGCAAGGTGATATTGCTGTAAATGACAGCTATTGAGCATAACAAAATCGTATCTGATAAACATTGTCGTAACTGTAAGCTTATATATGCATTATGGTTTGTATTCCATGAAAGAAAACTTTGGTACTTACAGCAAGCTGAACATTGGTATTTGCACCCGAGTTCAAGCCTCTATGAACGGATGGCTGCATGGGTGTTTTCGTGGTTTTGTACATGTTTAATGTGGCTATGAGCCAGTCCCAAGCCTAAAAGACATCAGGAACCACTCTCAAGACTAAAACATAGATCGTCAGTTAAATTGTGATGTTGAGAGGCCCCAACTTGTCAGCAAAAGTAGTAGTGACTGCTATGAACTGGAAATTACACAGACTCTTAAGAAGGGTTTAACTCCTTTTTTATTTCACTTTAGAAATTACAGTTGCGTTCACTTGACGCTCACAAACTACGCCGACCCGGCGGTTAAACAAAAATAGAAAAGTACAACTAAAAATAAATAACAGGATGAATAACTAACGAAGTCACTATCTACGAGGCTCTATTAACGTGACTAACTTAACCGCGTTCTAAGATACAGCTGAGATTCAGCAAACTTTCTGATTAAGAAGTTGAAAGATTCAACTAACTGCCGAAGTAGGCACACAGGCCGAAACGCGCGGTTCTTAAATTTCTACCTAGCAACCTTCACGCTCGTGATTCAAGAAGCACACTTACAAATCTCGTTTCCCTTCTATTTAACTCAAATTACTTCTGCTAAAATTTGAATACTCTGCACGTTCTACTACGATTTACATACTCTGGCATTGGCAATTCCAGGGGAAAGTAAAGGCTTGACAGGAAAGATAGCTTAAAATAAATGTTAGTTAAAATAAATATAAACCCTACAAAATAATACGCAGTTCTAATGTTTTGTATCCCAAATAGTGTAGTTACTACGTCATTTTAAGCATATTATACTTATGATTTTAATTAATGCGTGCAGGACAGTCTGGAATCGTTGAAAAGGAAACATTTTTCTCATATGGCTTAGGTTGTTGAGATATTTGTAGGCACTGCATTTGTTGGATGACTTTGGGGAATTAAGGTCATATCATGTTCCTGTTCTGAAGTTGTGAATCATGGGCACTTTTCTCTGAACCGCATTTGAATTTCTTCGCATACTTATACTAAATCCTGAATGTAACACATTTTAAAACAGTGATATCTGGGAAAACGTGAGTGTTAGAGACCAGCCTTTAATCTTTTGATGATCATTTCAAATAAAATGCCATTATTATGACTGCACTAAGCAATATTTATAGGTTACACATCATTTTTATCAACGCTTTGGTCAGAAAAAAAGAGTAACAAACTAAGGAGCAGACAAACTTCGCGATGCAGAGAATTCAAGAGTATCGTCATTTGATTGAAACTCATTGCTACAGATTTCCCTTGCTACTAACCTTCATAAAAGTTTTGTTCATCGTTTGCGAGCAGTTATTATTGTTATTTTTTTATTTGTTTTAATGCTGTGGTCATATATATGTATTAATGATTCTTTTAACTAATGGCATTTAAGTAATGAATTTCAGCCGTGTTTAATGATTCTTAGAATAGAAACATATTGAAACTGAGAATATCTTAATTAACTCCTGCTTATAAGAATATCTTTTGCTTTCTTTGTGATTTTAGATACCAAGAAATGATGTAGAAAAGGTGAACACAAGCTTCTCGTTTGCAAACTCAGCTGCTTATCAGCTAGACAAGATTTTGGGCGAAGAAGAAGTATATTTCATGACTGCTTATTTTGTCGATCCAAGTAAGTAATACGTTATAATTTTAAGTCTGGAATATTAACTTTTTTGCTATGTGTGCATATTTCATTTTATTTCTTAAATAGATAGTATCTATTTACTTCTTCACAGAAGGCAGATTAAATCAAACATATATATATCGTTGGTAATAATATTCATGTAGATGTCAAGAATATTTCAATAACATGAATAATTGGTATTTGGAATGCTATATTTTTCAAAATATTTACATATACGATAATTGGTATATGAAAAGAACTAATAACTCACAAAAGTTTCCTCAGACAATTCAAATATTGTAAGTGTGACCCGCTGATCGCATGACACCTAGACGTAGTAGAGTTCAGTTCGTACAAATAGAAGTCGAACTCCGTCTTCACTTTCCGTTATATTGTCCTCCAGCTCTCCTGATCTAAGCTATATGACTTCCTCCTTTGGGAATATGTTTAAGGATTGTTTCTAACAATTCCAAATTACATAAAGGGATAATAAAGTGCACTGCGTGTTATGTAAAACATTTACAATGTACGTCTCTCACATGCATGGAAGTTTGAGATTTTGGTATTTTAACCTAATCTTCAAAAGCCAGTAAGGCGGTAAAAAATATTGTGCCTATAAAGTATTGCATACATTTCACGAGATGATAGAATAATAAAAAAACGGGGTTTTCCATCAAAGCAAACTATTATTTACGAAATACTGATCAGAATCACGGATATATGTTTGCGAGTGCACATGCATACTTATGGTATTTCCATGAAAAGAGGGTGGTATTGGGCGCTTTTCGGGGTTGCCATTTGTAAAGTCCGTTCGAGTTTTGCGTGTTTTATGTCCATGAAGTATTTACTTCCTTAATTTTCAAAAAAATACTTGAAATACGCTTGCGTAAATTTTACGTTTTTCTTTTATACTCCCTTCAAATCCTTTGCCAAATATTCTGCACTGTGCTGTAACGAATGGTGTCATTTGTGTAATATACATCAAAATAATTGACAAATAAAATAGTATCAGTATTTATTTATTCCAAGTTTTTATAATTGTTAAGATTTGAATATCTTGCTTTAGAAATAATATGCAGTGGTGGCCGGACCAGAGAGCAATATTTGGAACAAGGCACGGGAACTGGCCTCTATTTCCAGAATGGTACAGATCCTATAAATGATTCCGTGGAAATACCTTTGTATGAGAAAGATATGGAAGGAACTCGCTGGGTTAAAGGTGGTTGCTTTAGAACAATGGGTATGTATAATTCAAAAAATTACTTATTTACAGAAGTATCAGATTTTATTGAAAATATTTACGATGTTTATTGTAATTCGTTTATTTCATCTATGCAGGTGTTCACTACTGGTACGATGCTCATGAGAATATGACATGCTCGAAATTTTTTCCTATCACTGCTATCTACAACAGAGGAAAGTTGACTAATTTCGCTTTTGCCTCTTTCGGCAACTATGAATTTTCGAAGCGATTCGAACATCCACCTTCGTCTACTTTTAATGTAAGTTGCACAACATACGCATTTGATAATTTTTTTAATATTCCTATTATGCAGGTTGATTAGAACCCTTGGAGTCTATTATATATAAAATATCGATAAAAACTGGTAAATACATTCTTCAAACTATGAGGAAGAGGTACCTAATCAAGGTAGGTAATTTCAGCTCAAATTTTCATTTCCAGCTGAAAATATATCATTTTCAAGAATAAAATCAGAACTCAGAATGTGTTTATTATGCGAGATAGCTGAATTGATTACATTTTGGAAGCTTAATACAATATGAATGCTTATTTTCAGATAAGACAGAGAGTTCTTGAAAGAGAAGATTATCAAAGAAGCCGGCCAAAAGTAGATTCCTCGTTTTGGGATAAATATAACATGTTGCTCAGTCTTGTTTAAAACAATGGTTTCCATGCATCCATGTTTTTGCAAGAGAAGAATAATGTAAATATGCAGGAAATTACTGTTACTGGTTCCTGTAAATTGCGTTTACCAAAATATCAGCCTCCTCAAACATACGACACTTAAATTTAGCATTGGAATTGCAATATAGTCTTATAAATGGAATCGTATTCCTCCACTACGTAAAGATTTGAACACCTCAAATGCGAAATTTCTGCAGTATTAACCGCCTTTTAAAATGAAATGCGCTTTAATTGTTCACAAGATATTTGAAGTCAAAGGTAGTCAGTGAACAGCGATCCTCACTAAAAACCAGTCAGCAAATTAGGATGCGGATCTTACGATTTTAATTGCTCTACCCTATGGATCTTGTATGATTACTAATGGATAATTTATATGCTGTTGTGAGTATTTATTAAATAATTCCAAGCATAGGCGATTTTGTTCCTTTCTCATCAACTTCAGTCGCTGTCTCCTACTTGACGACTGCAGAATGAACACGTGTTGAGCCTAGATTTGGCTACTTCATCCTCTCCTTTGGGTTTTTCAAAGTTCCAGTCGTCTTAAGCTCAATTTGTATGTCTGCCATGTTTATCACTATTCCGGCCATGACTAAAAAGTCAATGGATGCCTTCTCTCATCCAAAACTTAAATCATCACATCTAAGTCGATAGGGTCAGTAAAAATTAGTTTTGGAGAAACATTTGCTTCACCGAAGTATTTATCAAATGAAATTCATGTTACGACTTCTTAAAAGATTTACTTTTCGTGTATGTCTTTACCGTGCTTCCATTACATCAGTGAAATGTTTTTTATTTTGTCTCTTTAGCCTTCAAGTTTGCTTTTAACATGCTTCTGTTTGTTTAATCTGATGAAAAATATTAATGATCAACACATTCTCTTTGAATCTAAAGTACCCTGCAACATAGTGAAGTGTGGTGAAATTATTCGCTTCGAATATTCGACATGCTTTTTCCGGCTACGAGTTAAACATCATCAAATGTGTTCTTCTTTGACGTTAAAAAATGAAAGCTGTGCATTCTACATCTGGTCTTCAAAATTAGTGCTGCAAGATTAGCCATGCTGTAATAATTTGTTTTACTTATTTTTAAAGCTATGAGCGAGAAATTTAAATGTTATTTCATTTTTTTTTTTTTTTTTTTTTTTTTTTTTTTTACGTTTTATATGCTTGAGTAAAACATTTATTGAGCTTATAAGTGATAATAAGCTATATTGTTATGATATATAATATATGATATATTATTGAGCTTATAAGAGATTGTAAGTGAGACATATCTACAACCAAGTCTATAGATATGTCTCACGAAGAATTCTAAATTGTTTCGGTAGGCAAAGAAAATTTTACCTATCCAGTATTCGATTACACAAAAATTCTTTCAGTGAATCGATATTTTACGTTTTTTTGAAAAAACATGTAGTGCCAAAGCTACTTCTGATAAGGAAAAATTAGCTTTACTTCGGGGCCGTTAATTAATGTTTAAAATTTAAAGAGTATTTTTTTTTAAGTATTACCCTTTTTCTTGGACTTTAAGTCTGCATCGTGATTTCCATGACAGAAGGACTCTTCGTAAAATGTCCAAGGGTAATGATTCCTCTTCCACTATTTTCCAGAGTCCATGAATCGTGGTAGGTTTGCACTTAGAAATAGCTCTATTCAAGATACCAAAGCTATAATTGTCCATAAATGAAGCGTCAAGGGACTTCGCAGGAATACGTTGAAAAGGTATATACTATGCAATACCTGTATCACTCTTCATTTTTTCAAGGAATGCAGTGATATTGTTCGAAATATGACTTGTTGCTTTAACGTGACGAAGTTTCACTCTTTCAAAGGCTATTGGGATAAAGAAACAAATTTCTTCTGTAAATATTAGTTATAAAACTTGATAGTACGTTGAGTTGATTTTAACACTCCCCCCCCTCTCTGATTATTTTTAATTTCTCTTTATAAGAGGATCCTACAACAGTCATAAACCCTTTACTGAAACTTTCTTTGCAGTGACAGAACCAAGTTTGTACACTTTTTTCTCATCGTTTACGATAACAAATGGACCTTGTTTTATTGCAATCATTTAGGTAAGCCCATGCTTCATCGAGGGTCACAATGTGTTTCCATTATCTTCTGCCAAATAGTTTTCATACAAGGTTCTACAATTTAAGACACAATAACACGCCGAACAAATACTAATTCAGAAGTGAAACAACAAAAATCAGCGTGATATTTTCAAATTTTCACAGGACTAGTTTCGATGATTTTACCGAACCACCATCGTCAGCTGCAAAAGCGCAAATGAACGCGATAGGATACAATGATCAGATAAGATAAGAAATTTTTTCCCTACAAGTTATTTTGATATATTTTTACTCATTGTACATCTAGACGGATGGCAAATTCAACGACTTGTACCTCACACGGCAAAAGACCGTTTCTTGACTGCAAAAGCTTATCTACGCCATCGAATTTTCATTTTCGGAAATTGGATGTCGGGGTCGACGCAAAGGGTCAACGAGCATATTACTTGAAACTAAAACAAAATGTGAATATCGCCAAATCATCTTTAAATGCACCAAGGTGGCAAACTGAGAAGTAAATCTTCAAAACACCCCTACAAAAAATGGGTCAGGGCTCGTTTCTACGGCAACAGATAGCTGCAGACAAACTGGCGAGAGCTGTTCTTACCGTAGACAGACAGTACACCCAGGAGTTGGCAACTGAGTCCCCTAAAAACTCCAGTCGCCCTTTAAAAGGGGTATTTCTTCTGCCTTCTTAGTGTAGTGGTCAGCACATTGGGCGAGTAGTCCAGAGGTCCGCGGTTCGATCCTGGCGTTGCTCACTTTTCATCACCCCTGCTTTATAAATATCCGAATGTCTCTACAAAATAATTTCAAGTATACATTTCACATGTTTACAGCATTATAGCTGACCATAGTGAAAAAGGGAGAGAAGGGGGTTGCAAATGCCTTAATTTAAGAGGAAACAGGTGTGGTGAGAAGAATGAACATTGTTATTGTGTTAAAATTTAAAAATACTGAAGTTGACAATTTTTCAACCCAGGTTCATAATATTGCATTTTCATTATTGACTAACAAAAGTTTTGGCTTGAATACTATTGAATACAGGGTTCGTACGGTCCTTAAAAGTCCTTAAGTTTTTTGGAATCGATTTTTGGTCCTTAAAAGTCCTTAATTTTGGCCAAAATCGGCAGAAGGTCCTTAATTTTAATCATGTGAAATTTCTGTCTGTTTTTACGACTGCCATTTTGAGTGTGAATTAGCAGTTTGGAGGTATATTTTTGGCGATTCACTGATAAATATGGTTATTTGAATGGGTTATGATTTGTTCGTATTTCTAATATAAGTGGTGGGATACTCGAGTTTCTGAGCAAGAAGTGAAACAAGTATTTCGAAATTATTTCACTTTTTCTAATGAAGAGCTCTTAAACAATTTTTCGCTTTTGGGGATGTGAATTCTTTTATTGAACGGATCTAAGTTTGGCGATTTTTAAGATCAGTTTCTATAGAAAATTTTAAATTCCAAGAGCTGGGAATTTTTCGACGATTTTTTTAAACATTCTAACATTGATCAATTTCATTAAAATAATGGTATTATATTGAAATTATATTTAAAAAGTAACATATTAATTTAAAAATATCTTTTAAATTTGTCTCAGAGTATTCCGAATTCTCAGAATATGCATCAGTTTTCTCTATAAAATTAATGAATGAATTTCACACTTTTTTCGTCTGATTTTTTTAAAAAATATTTCTGGCTGTTTGCTGTTACAAAACTGGTAGGGGTATTTTTTCTTCGGGACGTTAGACATTGCAACTTGAAAAGTTTAGAAAGATTTGAAGGCAAGATTTATAGACTCACGATTCCATAAGATTTTAGAAAAATGTGACAAAATGAAAAATGTCACTATGGTATTAACACGTAATGGATGTATTACACAGAACATTTGCAATGAATTTCTTACTTTTTGGATAGCATCTGGAAGAACAACGAAAACATAATACTTGAATGTTTTACTTCTGATAGTAGAATCTTTTTTATAACATTCTTATCTTCCCTTTATTTTCTCTACTTTTCACTAGACACAAGTATGGAAAATATTAAAAATGCTTCTAATCTTATCACATGGACAGGCATTATAGAAAGGAAATTTTGATTAATAAAGAAATTGAAAACTGGCAATTTAAAATATTCATCTAATATGTCTTAATGCATCATACACTAGGCATTTTCCCACCTAGTGCAATCACGTGGAATATTAAACCTCTATGTGTAAATCCTAAATTTTGCTGACTAGTGCCTTTCTAAATTCTGCTTCCAGTGTCTGCTCTAAATTCTAAGTTTTGCTATTTCTACATTTTGTTGCTGGGTGTGTCACTAAATTCTAAAAATTCTGCCACACTAGCTCTGTAACCGGCCCTTACCATATATATTTCATATCTCTTGTGAATAACTAATATTACACTAATATTAATAATTAATAGAAATAAAATTAGCAGGTTTTTCTATACATTTTAAATGTATTCAGATTTTTTTAGAGTAACAGAAATATTTAATTAAATCCAAAAATTCTAAAATGAAAAGAAAATGTAGACAAAAGAAACTGAATATATAAAATTATTCTTCAAAGATATGTACAGTTATTATTATGTAAATTACCCAGTTGTTTACAATTCCAGCTTTTACTATAATTTCCCTTTTGTATTTTTTCCCCAGAATGGGAATCACCTATACATTTTTTAAACTGAGGTGTTTGGAGTGTGAGACGAAAAAGTGTGTTTCTGACCTCCACTTGCTCCTTGCATTAGTTCCTGCCGGCTCTGATAATTTGTAATTATTCGTCTTTGCGTTACTGCTGCCGACATTTGAATTTGTTATGACAGTAGAGTTACTTAGCCAGCTTAAAATTAAATTAAATTGTATAGTCTTTGACCACTAGTCCACATTTTTTGTTTGAATTTGATTGTTCTTGTTTAATTACATCACCCCAAACTGTAATTGATTTGGTTAGCATAAGAACATACCTTTAAGTTCTTTTTAAATAAGAGGTTTATTTAAACCTTTGACTGACTTTATAGTTACTTTGAGACATAGCGATAATTTGCTTCACGTCTTTCGGGAGTTTTTGGATTATTTAACTTTTACCAGATCAAGTAAACCCTCATAGGTACATTGTGGAGAGGTTGACAATTTAGGAGATAAAACACACAGAAACTAATGAGAACATTGGTTTGCATATTGAAAGAAATTTCTAATTCTTAGTAAAGATGCTTAAAGAGAAGGAAATCGATATAAATTAGCCAAAATGTCTGGCCAGCTTCAAATTAAAAAGAAGCATAAGTATTTTGTTGAGTGTTGTTGCTATAAAACATAAATGTTTTGTAGCTTTTAATGTATAATTATCCTAATATCGTTGATGAATCAATGACATAAATTGTATTTATTTTAAAGTGTGAAATTTTATTAGATTGTGATTTTAATAGGTACTTTTAACAGTATTGTTAAAAAATAAGAAAAATTTAATAGTGGTCATGTAAATCCATAATGACTAAGGTTATCTAACTATCTAATTTAATTTATAACTAACTGCTTACCCTTAAAAATTATCTGTGCCTATTAGAGTGAGTTATTGGCTTTCATTATTTCTTAGGTACAAGGTAAAACACAAAAATGTAAAAATTCATGTAAAACTTATTCTTCATATCTAGTGAGACCTAAAATAATACAAAGCAGCTTAGTGTCACCTCTGATGCTTTAGTGGCTTATTGGAACCTTAAAGTATATTAACTGGATTACATCCCCTGGAACTGTACACGGAGCTACGACACCTCAAAGTATATTAACTGGGTTTTAATCCCTGGAACTCTACACCGAGCTACGATGCTAACTCCAACAGACAGAGCCCAACTAACTTTAAAAACTAGTTAACCGTGCCCACATTAGGCCTTTCAGTTTTATTCTGGTCTGCAGGTCTGTCTTTAGGTAAGGAACAGCGGTGACAACAGCCAGTCTTTTGTTATAAATCATTCTTATTATGATTTTACTTCTCATTTTAACCTATGATGCTTGACATAAAATCTACCTGGCTATTCACTAAACCTCTAGACTGAGCAAGTAATGAGACATTAAAAAAAAAACAAATCCAACATGAAACATAACTAAACATACTATTAGTAAAACATAAATAAAATGTCACTTATCTTCTTTCAAATATGCTGAACTATTTTAATGACATGTAAGTAATGTTAAGTGTAAAATATTTAATGCTGTTTGATAAATTTCATAAAGTATATTTTATACTCAAACCTACTAATAATTATGTTAATTAAGTTATATTTAATAATAATGCATCCTACGTAGGGATCTATTTTATTTTTTGGATGGTATTACAAAAGTGAAGTTCAGGCATAGATAGTATTTTTAATTGAACTTATTATTTTGCTATTTTGCTTATAGGTCCTTAATTTTTTCATTAATGGTCTTTAAAAGTCCTTAAAAGTACTTAATTTCCATGTGCAGAAATGTGTACGAACCCTGTGAATAAATAGTTTTAGTTTCATTTTTATCAGTATGTAAGTATATGTGTCACCTGCATTTTGTATGAATTATATGATAGCTGCTACTTTTAAAATGCTGCACTTTGGAAAGAATTTTATAAACATTTTACTACTTTTATAATAGAAAGTTAAAAAATCAAAATAAAAAGAAGACTCTAGAGGCTATCAAAAATCAAAATAAGAATTTTATTTAACAAAATGTTATCGAATAACAAAAAGGAAAAATTAAATGTTTTCATGTGTAAAGTATGTTATTAATCTTTTCTTCAATAATCATAATTTTATTTTATTTGCTTAATTTACAGCTGTTCCTGCCAACGCCTGTGCCGAAATGCTTATATGATGAATACGAGACATCTGGGGGTTTTAGTACCATGCATGTGTACTTCACTATAAGACCATGGAATCTCTTTTGCTGATTTATCTAGCTGCACCTGATGATACACCAAAGATATATTATTAATCATTAAAATAATATAAGTAATTAAAAATAAATTAGTATCTGTTATTTGAAGTGTCGCTAATTTGAGAAAATGAGGTTTATTAAAATACATTCGTGAACTCTGTCATAGCAAATGATTTTATGTCAACCATTATACCACACTGCTTTTAGAGAGAATACTTTTGATTCCTACAATCACATTACTTATATCTCATTTGTGTAATTATATTTTATACGAAATATATATATATATAGTATACATTCAGATTTTACCCATTATATCTTTTGGCATTTAAACAAATTGTATACATACATAAAATTAATATTAAATTAGTCATCTAAAAATTCTCCATGCCATTTTTTCCATATTTCGATTCTACGACTCAAATTATGCCTAGATATTAAATTTTCTAATTCTTGGTGAAAAATTTACAGAGAAATTCCATCCTTTTTCTTTCAAATGATTTTAACAAAGTTCATAAACCACATTTTTGTTATTATTGCTTATATTAAATAAGCCAAATTTCAAAACGTGCCAAAATGTAAATTCATACATATCTTAAAAATTTTTGAATAAAAAACTCTAATTTTTTTGTAGATATGCTTAGAAATACATCTACTTTAAGATGATGTTAAAAATTTTATAGGTTATATTCAATTAACATTGAGGGGCTAAAATTTTGAGAGCTAATTTTTAAAAACCTACTGGTGCGATTTTTAAAAAATATTGCAGTTTGGCATAATTTGAGTTGTAGAATCGAAATATGGAAAAAAATTGGCATGTCGTTTCAGAAAAAGTCGGATTTTGTGTCAAAATACCCATATTAAAACAATGCTGTATATAAATCTAACACATATCCTAAGTCGTGCTTTCGAGACATGTAAAACGAAAGTTGAATTTCGTCAATCGGCTCAGTAGAACGGCAGATATAGAACTGTCTTCCCCCCCCCGCAGTGTATATTCGTGGCCGTATGGAGGCCTTTTGTTCGCTTCACAAGGGCTGGCCAACGACAATTTTGCATGGCTTTGATGGTGATCGTATACTTATTCAAATATGCCAAGGCATAAACAATCGCCTTAACACAATCCTTCGTCGTTGTATGGAATAGACAAAACAGATTTTTATAACAGACAATATAATATTGGTTTTCAAATTCCAGAGTCAGAACAATCATTTTCAAGGTATCTCTCAATATTTCCGTTTAAAACAGCTGTGGTAGGTTGCGATATTTGATGGAACGAATTCAGCCGGACTTTGCTTGAAGCCTGATAATTTCTAAACGAAGAGTACAGTTATCTACTATTTGCAGAAATTGTTCTAGTAAATGATTTTCATTCAATTCTGAATAATTTGGAACAACAGTGTGCATAACTTTTCATAAATTCACCGCTCATCCACTCTTTATTGTTCAAACTACGCAAAATTTTAAATATTTTCCCATGAATAAAAATGTGAGCTTCTCTGTACTCATTATGTTGGCTCCAAAGAGTATTGCAGTTTTTTAGTTCTTTTCCTACAAGTGCATTTATCATCTTAACAAATGTTTCGACTGGAAAAACTTTAGAAAAGACACCATTTTTGTCTGTATTAAAACCCTACTCCAACAAGCCCTCCAAAATCACCGATAAGTCTTTATTCTTTCTAGTTAATCATGGTTACTTCTACGCTATCTTCTTTGAAAACTTTCTAGAAATTCAGACCATATCCCAACTTAAATTTTTGCTGCCAGCTATCTGATCTCTCGAAACTTTTCAAGTCCATCACTGAGAAAAAAATCTGATGTGGACACCACGACTCCCTTGAACGACCTATTAAAATTATTTTACACATCTTTTTGCTACATTACATTTGAATTTATTTCCTTGAATTACTCTAATGTAATTAACCGTTCCCCCAAAACAAGTTGAAAATGATATCAAAAATTAAAAATTTTGAAATTTGCAATCTTTGATGCCATTTTTATTTTGCCTAGAGGGTTTTTTTTGTTTGTTTGTTTAGGTGTGATTCCGTAATCACAGCCCTTGAGAGCTAACTGCCTAAGGGAAGGGATGCCTCCGCGTGATCCCTCCCCTTAGGCTAAGGAAAACTGACACATGGGGAAAACCATGAAAACGCCCATGCAGGCAGCCTGTTTGTGGGATTCGAACTACCAATGTTCAGCAACTTAACGCTCGCCCACTGGTGGGCTTTGCCTTGAGATATCAGTTAATTCCGCATGACAAAACTTAACCCGGATATTGCTTCTAGTTAATTTTTGTCATACAAAAATCAAACTTCTTATTTTATTTTTTCATACTGAGTATAAAACTTTCACAAATTAAGTATAGAAATCAGGAGATCCCATTAAAAGTTAGATTTCGTTGTTCGTCGAAAATTATCTTTTAAAAAAATTTGACACTGCCAAAACTTGAATATTTTTGTCATTCAAATCACTTCTGTAATTGGAAATATATGACTATGACAACGGTTGCAAAAACAGAGGCAAAGTTAGAGTGTGGGTGTGCGTGTGTTATATTATATGTATATGTGGCCAATTTAAGGCTCAACTCTCTTAAATAGAGAACAACACCTTTTATGATAACCGTCTCACATTCCATCACTAAATACAATTGCATTTCTAGTCATTTCACTTTAAATTTTAGCAGTTAATTTAATATCCTTCCTGGGTTTGTTTTTTAAAAAAATGTATAACTTTTGTTTTGACCTTTGTATTTAAGTTTGAAAATGACATTGTCAGGGATATATCTTCTAAAGTAAGCACCCACTTTAGTTGTTTCCAGTTTACTTTAGTTGTGTTCTTAGTGAGCAATTTAAATTAAAAAGATTAATTACTAATTTATTTTGTTTTTAAATTCTTTTGGCTTAAATGGACTAATATCTTTATTTTCATTGAGTATTATTCGTGATTTATGATTTGGCTCTAGCAGAAATAATTTGATGCTTACTTGGAAAAAAGACTAAACACTCTCACTTAATTTAGTTGTTGTTACTTAATGGTAGATTGGTTTATTCCCCTTGATATGTAGATTAATCTGCGATCAATGACAATAGCTACTTTTTCAATACTTAAAAATTTTTTACTTTTGATTTTGGTATTTTTACAGGACATTTTCTTTACAGACTTTTATGTTTTTAAAGCAATAGAAGTTAGAAAACACTAATTAAAAAATCAAATTAAACACTGACTAAAAAAATTTTAATATTCATGGTTTAAGTTGAATATTTGGTCCTTGGAGATGGTATATGAAAAGTTTTCCAATTATTTATATATATATATACAAGGTGAGACCGAAAAGTAAGGTGACTTATGTCATAATAATAACTGTATTATATATTTACATATAAATACATCACTGTCCTTCAAAGTAGTTCCCGCCATCTACAATACACTTCTGACAACTTTCATAGAAGTTCTGGAAACTTTTGAAAAGTCCTCCTTTGAGACTGTGTTAAGTTCCTTGGTAACAGCAGCTTGAATGTCTGAGATGCTTGAAAATCGGTGTCCCTTTAGTGGTTCCTCGCGCAGCAAAAGGTTACAGAGTTATTTCACCCTCCTTATTCCCCTGATCTTGTGCCAGCAGACTTTTCTCTCTTTCTACGACTGAAATTGGCACTAAAGGGACACCGATTTTCAAGCATCTCAGACATTCAAGCTGCTGTTACCAAGGAACTTAACACAGTCTCAAAGGAGGACTTTTTCAAAAGTTTCCAGAACTTGTATGAAGTGTATTGTAGACAGTGGAAACTACTTTGAAGGATAGAACAGTATTTATATGTAAATATATAAAACAGTTATTATTATGACATCAATCACCTTACTTTTTGGTCTCACCTTGTATATAAATGTGCGAGTGCGTCTGTGTGTTTGGTATTGCCAATTACAATAAAAAAGGGGAGGTGCACAACTAGATATTAGTATAGCAGTTCCACATACAAAATTTCAATGTTCTATGGCTAATCGTTTTAAGTTATGCGAGATACAAACATACATACGCACGTACGCATTTACAGACATTAAAAAAAAAATCCCTTTTGAATCCATTTTGGAAAAATGAGTCCTTTATTTTGTCTCTATATACAGATGACTTGCAAAAAAAAGGTCCAGATGGATTTGGGAACAGTCAAAATAAACATTTCTGTTGAAATATGATACCTGAAATTTTTCGCGATTACAATGCTTCCTTTACTTCGTACAAGGAAGTAGAAACGTGCCTTTCTTCAGAAAGTGCTCACTGTTAGGAATACTTTTACTTCCCATTTTTCAAGGCCATGGAAACAGCTCTTTTTCCCCTTCTGGAAATTTCACCTCTCGGAAATATTTTTGTGAAAGTTCATGGTTAGTGTTACCTACATTAATAAGCATTAGTCTGATTCTGACAATCAGCAATTTTTTTTGGGCAATTCTACACTTTTTTGCAGCTTAAATCTTAGATACAGGCATTTACTTCCTTTAACTTTTCCCCCTCTTCTTTTTGGAAGGAAATCAATTTAATAAGAAAAGAATAAAACCTACTAGAAATTGTTTGGCACAAATGCAGAACATCAAAGTCTGGATTACCTTACAGCGCATGCACCAATACATTCCATGCCAACAGGACAACCAGCTAGTGCAATAAGTTCCAACAAGAAAAAAAAGTTCTTTTATTACACCTTCATTTCTTTTCTATAATTTTCCTTAAAACTATAGAATAAGCTTAAATTCTGATAGCAAATGACAGAGCCGTGCCAAGATATTTTTTCACCTGAGGTAAAAAAGTAAATGTGCGCTATATATATATATATAATAGGTAGAAATACTGCAGCGAGCTTGCTAAAAAAATTTTTAAGACCAAATGGGTCTTACGTCTCATTACGTGTTAGCTTTTCAATTTCTGTTTTGATTATACATATATATATATATATAACTATATTTGTATTAAAACAAAAGTAAATGTATTAACCCTCTAAGCGGCAAGGCCTAGAATATTTTTTGTGATATCTATAAGAACGTATATATACGTGCATATTAAAATATCAAAGAAATTAAGGCAATATATCAAAAGAAAACAAATCCAGATATGAAATACCAGGAGAGTTTTTACATTAAAATAAAAAAAAATAATTTATTCTCACAGTAGATTTG